ATATTAAAACAAACAAACAAAAAAGAGTAGATACAATGGGCTGTGGCTCAGTGGTAAAGCGCTCACCTGGCACGCATGAGGCACTGGGATCAATCTTCAGCACCACATAAAAATAAAATAAAGATATTGTGTCTGCATACAACTAAAAAAATACACTTAAAAAAAATAAAAGAGAGTAGGGGCTGGGGCTGTGGCTCAGTGGTAGAGCACTTGCCTAGAACGTGTGAGGTGCTAGGTGCAGTCCTCAGCACCACATAAAAATAAATAAAGATATTGTGTCCAATTACAACTAAAATAAATAACTAAATAAAAAAGAGTAGACACAGTAATGTTATGGAGCATATATAAGATTTTAGAGTAGCAGGCTGGGGATGTGGCTCAAGCGGTAGGGCACTCGCCTGGCATGTGTGCGGCCCAGGTTCGATCCTCAGCACCGAAAACTAAAAAATAAATATTAAAAAAAAAAAAAAAGATTTTAGAGTAGCAAGCAGATCAGAGGAGGGAGGAGAAGAAGGAAAGGGAATGTATTGGAGAATGTGATTGATCACTTATGTGCATGTACAAATATGGCATAATGAATTCCACTACTATGTATAATTACAATGCACCAATTGAAAAAAAGTAAAAAAAAAAGATATAAGAATGAGGTAGTGTTAAAAATGAAGATCCTGAAGAATGAACAAAGGAAAAATATTTAGATAGGGAAGAGGTTAAAATACTTTTTGTTGTTTGTTTTTCCCACTGTGATGGCAGAGAAAGGATGAGGACATGGCATTTAACACAGATAGCAGCATTAGATTAGTTTAAAAGGCTGATAGTGAGCCAGGTGCAGTGGCACACAGCTGTAATCCCATAGGCTCGAAAGGCTGAGGCAGGAGGATAGTGAGTTCAAAGCCAGCCTCAGCAATAGTGAGGCACTAAGCAATTCAGAGAGACCCTGTCTCTAAATAAAATACAAAATAGGGTGGGGATGTGGCTCAATGGTTGAGTGTTCTTGAATTCAATCCCCAGTTACCCTACCTCCTTCCCCAAATAAAAAGACTGACAGTGATTGCAGGAACAGTTTCCAAAATTAAGCACATTTTCTCTCAACAAAGTATTCCAGAGAAATTAGAATAACATAGTTTCCTATTAAATGCAACATACAACCTCAGTCTTGAAAAATACAACACCTACCAAGCAAACAGAAGGAAGAGAACAATCTGAGGTAGGACTAGGTTCTGAATTTCCCAGATTTAATGTCAGAAGTTTAGGCATTGCATAGCAAAATTTGAAAATAATGGTTTAGACTTACTCTCTCTAGGGGCAGGTCCTTTGAACTGACTTCTGATAGGCAACAGGGCCATGTTTCCAATGAGTTTGGTGTCGGGGTCCATGAGGGAAGAGTGGTAAGCCTGTAGTGGCAAGCCAGGTAAGAAAACAGAAACAGAATGATAGCAAATGTCACTGGGTTGACAAATACATTCTTCCAAAGGAAAAGAAGAAGAGATGGCAGCAGCAAAGTGCTGGAACTGGCTCTTACTGAAAACCAATTGTTAAATTCTGAGGAATTATGCAAGTAGTTATTAAACACAATCAAAAATTAAATTTGTAAATTTATAATTATATTGTAAAAACAAAAACAATAAGTATTCAACCACTTCCCAATTTTAAAAAATTACAGTTTACTATTGTCTATGTTCTCAGGGTTTTTTAGGCCTTTTCTATCTTTGTAGTAGAAATACTGTATGATAGGATGCTACTGTGTATGTCTTCCAATTTTGTATTCAGTGACATCACAGTGATAACTGCTGGAAATATTTTCATTAGAGAAAGAGGCAAATAGAATATATCAGGGTACCCACCCTCCAGTTAAACCAGGACCCAAGTACTACCTTTTCAGTTTTGCTACTTCCTGGCTTTATGATTTCAACAAAAACATCACTTTTCTTCCCTTAGCCTGTTTCCAAATTTGTAAAATGTGTATGATGAGTGATATGCACCACCTTTAGTGGGAGGTGTGATTTAAAGGAGAGGGAAAAAGAGTACCCGTGAGAGCAATTTTAATGCTGACTCCTACTTTTGCTTTTTAAAGAAGTCTGGCTTTTTAGAAGACAACATACCCATTCATAGATTCATTAATTCACCAAATGATTACCAAGCATCTTCTATGTGCAAGGGACAGTGATACAGTTGATATACTCGTTCTTAAAGAACTTTCAGGCTAATGGAGAAAGCAGATGCAAAATAAATAACACAGAGAAATCCAGGATGCTTTATGCATAACTGGAATGAGCCCAGAGCTTTACAGTTCTGGCTTAAAATCTTGCTTTACCACTAGTGTGAAAGTTATTTAATTTCTGTGGACCTCAGTCTCCTCTTCTGCAAAATAAACAATAATGGTATCTACTTCATAAGGTCACTTTGAGATTTATTATTTAAAAAATTTTATTGGTGCATTATAATTACACATAATAGAAGGGAGTCATTATGACATATTCATACAGGCACATGACATAATTTAGTCTATTTCATTCCCCAGTATTTCCTCTTTCCCCTTCTCTCCTCCCTTCCCCTTAACTTTGAGTCTGGCTTATTTTGCGTAATATAATGCTCTCAAGTTCCATCCATTTTCCTGCAAATTATATAACTTTTGTTCTTCTTTTTAAAAAATATTTATTTTTAGTTGTAGTTGGTCACAATACCTTTATTTTATTCATTTATTTTTATGTGGTGCTGAGGATGGAATCCAGTACCTTGCACGTGCTAGGCAAGTGCTCTACCACTGAGCCACAACCCCAGCCCCAACTTTGTTCTTTATGACTAAATAAAACTCCATCGTGTTCAATTAAGAATTAAATAGACGGGCTGGGGATGTGGCTCAAGCGGTAGCGCGCTCCCCTGGCATGCGTGCGGCCCGGGTTCAATCCTCAAAACAAAGATGTTGTGTCCGCCGAAAAAACTAAAAAATAAATATTAAAATTCTCTCTCTCTCCCTCTCTCTCTCTTAAAAAAAAAAAAGAATTAAATAGAAACCCAATTACTATATATAACCACTAAATAATAATAATAATAATAATAATAATAATAATAATAATAAAGCAAACAGAATACTTTATGAAGTGAGTAGCTCTGGTCCGGGAGTCAAATGATAATTATGGAATTTGTGAAATACATAGCTGTAAGTATGGCCTGCTCCATTTCATCACAGGTATGCTTTACATAAAGCAAGCCCTGCCGTCCCATTCACCAGTAACTGTCTTGTTATCCACCTATTTCTTCCATTGCATCTGTCACTATCTGAAACTCCGCTATTTGTTCACATTTTTTTTTATTGTCTGTCTCCCTATTAGACTATCAGCTCCTTAAAAGTGGAGATTTGTTGGCCTCACTCGCTGCTGTAGAAGTGTTCAGCCTGCAGCAGATGCTCAGTAATGTTTGTTGAATGTAATGCATGTCACTGAATCACCTTTTTCCTAATCTGCAAAACTGAAACCACAATGGCTACAAATCCCTCAGACCCGCAGGACAACCGGGCCATCATCAATTTTCACTCCTATCCCCATGCACACGAAAAAAGAAACACCTGGAAACCCAAGCCGACCCCGAGGCGAAGGATTTCTTAACCCAGCTGGATCGGAGGTGGCCGCCACGAGGAGGCGAAAGGTCAGTCCGGGAAGTGGGGTCTGACAGATGACAAGCAGCAGGCGGGACCCGCCCCCTAAGGCGGAGGAGGAACTGGCGCTGGCAGAAAAAAGAAGCTGGACTCTGGGCTTGAAAAATGAAGAATAGGGGCTGGGGACATAGCTCAGTTGCTTGCCTAACATGCATAAGGCCCTGGGTTCAATCTCCAGCACCACCACCAAAAAAAAAAAAAAAAAAAAAAAAAAGAAGAAGAAGAATAAAAAGCGTAGTCTCTTTATCCGAGGCCGCAGTGAGTCTTCCGGTCCCAGCTGGCCTCAGGGGAGCAGAGGGGAGAGGGAAGGGAAGGGACCGGGACTGGAGAGAAGGGGCCGGGAAGGGCTCTGGCGGCCTCCTCCCTCGCCCGGCCACCGGGCCACACTGCCGCGCCCCACGACCCCCCACGCCGACACCCTCGGCCTCCCCAACACTAAAGAGACTGGTCCCGTTCCTCGCCTCTCCCCTTCTCAGGTCCCCGCTTTTCTCAGCACGCGCACGACTTCCCGCCGCTTTCCCCAACACCCACTGTGTCCCCACAACTCGGGCTCGAACCCTTACCGGCATCTTGGCGGCGCTGGGGTTTGGACTCAGAGGAGCAAGATCTAGTTAAACCGCTGCGCTTCCGGTCTGGGGACCAGGGCGGAGTAGGCGGAAGTGAGCCGGAAGGGGAGGGCAAGAGGAGGACCCGACGTTTCCGGCCTTGCCCTCACGCCGCCGACTGCTGCGGCTGCAAGGATCAGAAGGTGCGTCAGGGGGCGTCCGAGCCCTGGGCAGGGGCTCTGAGTACCGCGCATGTGTAAAGCGCATGCGGACCAGGGAGGTGTTTGAGGCTTACGGTATCCCAGTGACTAATCACCTTTGTTTTTCCTAAAAACTCACCTTTTCAGTAAAAATTAATTCCCTAATCACACCTTTAAATTCAACCCCACTCCAACCCCCTGCTTTAAGTGAGAAAACCTTTTCCCCTCAGTTTTATGATTCTGCTTTTCCTTTTGATGTCGTCTGTTGCCCCACCCTTGTGAATGTTAAAAAGCCAGGGCTCTCGTCCGCTTTGTTCACTGGTATCCCCCGCGCCGGTGACAGTCACTGTACATTGTAAGCATCGGTGAATATTTGTTGAGTGAATGAACTCTACCGACTGCCTTCAAAAAAGGGAAGTTGGGGAGGGAAAGAGGAAGAGCTTGGCGACTGAAATGAAGCAAGCTAAATTATATCAGCACAAACCCCCACTATTATGTGTTAAGTATAATGCACTAATAAAAACTTTTTTTTTTTTGTACCAAGGATTGAACCTAGGAGTGCTTAATCCCTGAGCCACATCCCCATCCCGTTTTCATATTTTATTTAGAGACAGAGAAGTTGCTTAGGGCCTCGCTAGATTGCTGAGGCTTTGAACTCAGGATCCTCTTGCTTCAGCCTCCCAAGCCACTGGGATTACAGGTGTGCACCATCGCGCCTGGCTTAATAAAAACACTTTTAAAATGGGGAAATTGAAGAGCATAGCGAAGAAGGGATTTATGTGTAGTTTCTGCCATTCTTTGTGTAATGATTGAGAAGTGGACACTGGTTTTAAAGTCCCAGTTCCAACATGTACTAGCTAATTCTGGGCAAGTTAATTCACCTCTCTGTGAATTAACTTGAAAATAGAGACAGTATTTCTCATTGTTTTATGAGAATGAAATAACCTGAAAAATGCTTAGAATTTACATGCCTGGAGAATAGTGAAAGTTCATTATTAGAAAGCACCTCTTGTGAAAAGCAAAATTCATTGCTGTCTGGGAACCATTTTTTCTACCAGCCCCTAAGATTGAAATATTCTGTCTCTTATTCCCACATCTGATTTCTCATTTGGGTCTCTAGCCAAATAGTACTTTTTAGAAGTGTCCTATTAATCACTCATTTGTTACTTTCTCCACTCTCCCATCCCTTAGCAGTTTTCCTTTTTTCAGGTATAGTCTTGCTGGCCAGCACGGTAGACCCATTCAAGTTAGGCCTTGTCTGCCCTCAGCATTGCCATTTTATTCAGTGTCAGGAATCCACAGAACCTCATTAAATTTGTGCAGAGTCATATTATGCTCCCCTGAGACAGTAAAATCCCTGAGGCCTGGAAGGTCAGATTCTTTCAACCCCAATATTCAGAGAGGAACGCAACAGAATCTAGCCTCTCATTTTCTTCCCCATGGATATATTAGAATTTCCAGAAGCTAAACCAGGGAGGTATAGCAAGAAGAGGGCAAATATAAGGTTCTTTCTTCCCCTCCCAAGGGGCAAAGTTTCTAAGAATTAGTAGCCCTGAGAGATAAGAGTGTTTTCACCTTTCCACACTCCAGGGACTACAGCAAAGTCCCTAAGCCAACTGGCAAACTCCATGTTGCCCACTCATCATGTTCTTCACAAATTGGTCTTTTTTTTAAACTGGGGATCGAACCCAAGGATTTCTGCATGTGAGGTGCTTTGCCACTAAGCTACATACATCCCAGTCCTCAAGTTCATCTTTTGAAAATAACTCACATGGTCAGTCCATGGTTCAGACACCTATCTCCCTAGCTGGCCGCCAAGAGCAAACAAACACTGATACCTGTCTTCTCATTTTGGTTCTTTAATTAAAATGGATCAAATTTGGCACTGCAGGTATACTTTTGCTACCCAGAACAAAGAATGACAAAAATATAACCTGAGTTGCAAATCTTAATTTGAATTAGCTGGCAGATCAGTTGCCAAATGACTAATGGAACACTGGGCCTGTTGTTGATGAAATGAAAGAGATCCTGGCCTATACTAGGTGCTAAAGAAATATCTACTGGCCTATTTGCCATTCCCAGAGCCTGCACTCACACCTAATACAAATTAACTTAGAAATACTGAAAACACGGCTGGGGATGTAGCTCAGTTGGTAGAGTGCTAGCCTTGCATGCACTAAGGCCTTGGGTTCAATCGCCAGCACCACCAAAAAACAAAACAAAAAAAACAACTGAAAACAAATGAATGTGCCAAGAAGTTATGTCGTCTGCACTTTGGTGAATGCTTATTACTCAAGGAATGTATAAACTTTGAAGTGCTCAAAAACTATAAACTAAATTTCTAAAAACAATCCCTGCCTGCATTGACACTTGGGAAAATTCACTTATTTAAAAATTTGCTTGACTGTGAATTTCAAGTTCCACCTGGAAAACAAGAGTGTAATGAAAGGTTAGTGCTACCTTTCTGTTTCTTTCCTACATCCACATATATGCTTCAAAACACAGATACTTTTAAGTGAAAAAATCTTATTAAACGAAATATATATCCAAGAATTAATTAAGCTGAAACTGGGAATATATACAATTAGTGAAAGATTAGCATTTAGATTATATGTTGTTTCTGAACATAAGAATGAACACATAGTTAAGGAAAACATGACTGGTGATATACATGGAAAGCTGTAAAACTAAGCAGTGAGCAGGAATTTAAAATTAAGAGTACAATAAAATACTACTTAACAAACAGTAGATAGCTCAAAACTAAGAAGTTCAAAAACATAAGATAATGTTGAAGATGTAGAAATTATTCCCACTATTAAATTCTAAATGGTACAATAGTTAAAAAAATATTTTTTAGTTATACATGAACACAATATCTTTATTTTTTATTTTTTTAATGTGTGCTGAGAATCAAACCCAGTGCCTCACACATGCCAGGCAAGCGGTCTACCACTGAGCCCCTAAATGGTACAATATTTTGAGAAGCTGTTTGGCATTATATAAAGTTGAAGTCAATGATGAAGTTTATTCTCATGGCTGTCCCTTGGAGAAACTCATGTATATATGATACAGGAAATATATTTATTGCAGAATTGTTTTCAAATCAAAACAGCTTGAAATAAATGTATCAAAAATTATGATCTACTAACATAACAACATATTAACAGCAGTGAAGTGAAAGAGCTAAGTACATACCACATTTAATTTTTAATTATACAAAGAACACATATTCAATGTAGAAAAATAAGAACATACAGATAATCAATGGCATTATCTATACCCTATACCCTTGTGGATTTTTCCTTTGGATATACATATGTATATTTTGTTACAGTAATTCATGCCACTGAAGAAACCCCCCGTTAACAAAAATCCAAGCAAAAAATAAAGTTAGAATGTCCTTAATTATATATATCCCAGGTGCAAATTTATATATGTACAAATCTATGTGCATTCATTCCCCCACTCCTTTTTTTTTTTTTTTTTTTGAGTGTTGGGGTTTGAACCCAGGGCTTTGTACATGCTAGGCAAATACTCCTCCACCGTGCTACATCCCCAACCCTCTTTACAATTCTGACATTTAAAATCTCAGTTGATGCTGGGCGTGGTGGCACATGCCTGTAATCCCAACAACTCATGATGGATGACAGGAAGATTGCAAGTTTGAATCCAGCCACAAGGCCAATCTCAGCAACTTAGTGAGAACTTGTCCCCCTCAAAATAAAAAGGGGTGGAGATGTAGCTCAGTGGCCAAGTGCCCCTGGGTTTAATATCCATTAGCAACAAAAACAAAAAAACCGCCAAACAACAACAAAAACTCAACTGATGCTGTTAGAATACCATTAAAACATTCTTTTTTTTTTTTTTTTGCAGTGATGGGGCTTACACTCAGGGCTTTGCTCATGTTACCACTAAGCTTCACTCCAGCCCTGAAAAGACTGGCCTTGAACTTTCCATTCTCCTGTCTCAGCCTTCCCAGCTATTGGGGTTAAAGGGTGTGTACCACTGTGTCTGGCAAGATTTCACTTTTAACTCAGGACTTGACTCAGGCATGCTCCTGATAAAGGGCCAAGTATTCTTTTTTTTTTCCTTCATTAAAAAACGCAGCTGTCTACTACTGCATCCTTTGAAGATTTGCATTCTCTGCTGATTTGGCCATAAGCTCTTCACATACAGTTACTTTTTAGTAAATTCTTCATTCATTCTGGCGTTCTTGAAAATATTCATCAAACAAAGAGGAAGACTCATCTTCATGTTCCTGACACAAAGGAAAAACAAAACAGAAAATACATTCATTTATTTCCTCTCACATGTGTTTACATATTATTCAGGTAATGCTCGATATGGAACTAAGAACCAGGAAGGACCAGTTCCAGGTGTTGCTCATAGGTAATCATCAATGGTTAAGAAAAGGCATAATTGATAGAATTTTCCCAGATATGTGGTAAGCTGATGTGCTTATATCTCATCAGAAGCATTTCTCACTTAAATTTATATTCACAATGATTCTCAGCTAATTTGCTGAGATAGTGTTCTGCTGACGACTATCATTAGTCTCTTCACTGATGTGTGAGAGCAGCCCAAGTTCAAATGGATTTCATCTCCTCTTTGTACATACCCCCAAGCTCTGAGTTCAAAGACTTAATTCAATAGCAATGCCTCAATAAAAAGCAGAATAAGGGCTGGGGTTGTGGCTCAGTGGTAAAGCGCCTGCCTAGCATGTGTGAGGTACTGGGTTCAATCCTCAGCACCACATAAAAATAAAGAAAGGTTTAAAAAAATAAATAAAAGGCAGAATAAAATTGACATCACTTGCTGAGCACAGATGTCAATTTTGGATATTATCCAGAAAAGCTCAGGCAACTGCTACCACTAAGACAAAACCCTAAGGAATTGCCTGGGTTATGTAAGGGGTCAATGAGTACTGGCAAATATTTTCACCAAAAAAAGAAAAAAAATCAGACATTACCTTGGGTTCTTTAAATTCTAAGTCTTCTCCATACTGAATGGCAAAATCAATATGCTGTAATACAATGTTCATGCTTTCTTCATCTGACTGATCATAAGGTAGAAATCGAACCATGCTGTAGTCATCAATCTACAAATAGGAGATTTCAAAAAAGGTTCATTCTGATGTTGGGCAAAACATGTAACTTTCAACTTAGATATGAGTTTTTATAACTATTTGTACTTCTGATTAAAAATATTTGTATTTCAGATATAGAGGAGGGACAGCCAGAGACAAGAGTAACAAATTGTTTATTGGTTCTCCTGAGCTCTGACCAGCGAGCACACACACTGGCTCATCACTTCATTGCATACTGTTTCAGGGGATTTATCTGAATTCAACACCCGCTGAAATGTCAAAAAGAGAACAAAGAGTTCTCAACTGCCAAATGGCTTGAAATAGTAGGCATATTTTATTAATTTATTGACCATTGATAGTAACTATTTCTAAATTAAACTGCTGACAGGCCTGCCCATACTTCCTCCCACCCTTCTTCTCTATGCAGGAAGTAGTGTTGGTCTGTGCTTCCCAGAAGGGAGGTCACTGACTAGATGTGGGCAAACACATGGAAAGGTGGAAGAAACCCAAAGCCCTACACTTCAAAAGCTTACCAGTCCACAAATTGCTTTCGTCAACTTTTTGAATTTTTTGCTTCTAAAATCACTTGTCGAATCTTTTAAGAAGGAGTACATGTCTGGGTCTAGAAACCTTTAAAAGGTGAGGAAGAAGTCTGATGAATAAAAGGAAGAATAAATCAGGAAACTAGAGACTGACAGAACCTCTCATTCCCATAAAACAGAAGGTCTGTCTCTTCAACTGAAATCTGATGGTAACAGAAGAACAATGAACTCACTTCTCAATTTCCTTTTTAGCTTTCTTACTCAGCAGATCCATTTTCGTCATGATGTTAACTTGTGGAATTTCTAGAGATATCATAGCACTCAGGGCTGCCAAGATGCCAGAAATAAACTGGAGGAGGAAACAGAAAAGGGAAGATGAATCAACTGTTCCCCAACAAGTCTCCAAATAGACAGGCTTCTACTCCTCCCTTCCAGGGAGAAAACTGGCCCTAGTAAAAGATGTGCTAATATTAAAGAGAAAGACCACTCAATCAGATGATTGAACCTCAGCTCCCAAAGGTGAGGATACTAAGGGAAGATGTGGCTTTAATCTACGGTGATCACATATCTCAATTTAGACAGTATTATCAACCTCCTTACTCATCTAATACTCAAGAGCTATTAATGATAAATAAATCTTGATTTAGTTCATAAACTGAACAAGAGATCCTCAGAAAATTTTAAAAAGGCTATTTTGTTGTTTCTTATTATTTTTTGTAGTTGTAAATAGACATCATGCCTTTATTGTATTTGTTTATTTTTATGTGGTGCTGAGGATTGAACCCAGTGCCTCACAAGTGCTAGGCAAGCGCCCTGCCTCTGAGTTACAGCCTCAGCCCCTATTTTATTATTTTTAAAAATACATTATCGGGCTGTGGTTGTGGCTCACTGGTAGAGCACTTGCCTAGCATGCATGAGGCACTGGGTTCAATTCTCAGCACCACATAAACGAATAAAATAAAGGTTCATCAACAACTAAAAAATAAAGTATTAAAAAAAAAGTACATGGGGCTGGGGATGTGGCTCAAGCGGTAGCGCGCTCGCCTGGCATGCGTGTGGCCTGGGTTCGACCCTCAGCACCACATACAAAACAAAGATGTTGTGTCCGCCGATAACTATAAAATAAATATTGAAATTCTCTCTCTCTCTCTCTCTCTCTCTCTCTCTCACTTTCTTTAAAAAAAAAAAAGTACATTATTTCATTGCTTCTTGATCTTCTGGCTAAGATCAAGTGTAATTAGTATAGTAGCTTTCTTTTTTAATCAGTTTACTATCTGACATGCTCTCTATCAGATAATACATAAAATGGATTTTTGGAGCAGGGAGATGGAATAGGAGCTTTCTCCATCCACTCCAGGCATCAACACAGTACGTCCAGAAATGGTGCACTCTACCCTATTCTTGCAGTTATTAAAAGCAGGTTGCTGTTGGTTTCTCTTAAAAACAACAACAACAAAAAACATTATTTAAAAAAATAACCCATCTGTCTCAATTTTCTTTAATAAACAGTTCCCTAAAATCTCTGAATCATCATTTACTATTTTTGAGTTTAAATATATCAGCATAATAATTTAACAAATATTAAGTGACTCTGAAATAGTCTGTGAAATATCCAGATCATACAATAATCAAAAGGGATAGTCATCGGTTTACATTCGTGATTGAAAAATTCTCAACAGATTTATCCTCAGACCTTGAATGACTCCACCATGAACTGAGAATCAACAAGAAAAACTCCACACACTCGGAATTCCCACTGCTCCAGTTGCTGGACCAGCTGTTTCATCACAGGCAGGTGAGTGTACAGCTCAATCTGACCTACAGGAAGAACACCATGAGAACAGTACAACTTACAGAAAGAACACCATGAGAACAGTACAACCTACAGAAAGAACACCATAAGAACAGTACAATCAGGAATAGGGTATTTCATTACAGAGAGAACATAAATTTTCCCCAAAGATGGGGAAGTCAGTTCTGAGTAACAATACATTCAATTTTTAAGAGGTCTTATAGTCTTTCAGAGTAGTCATCAAAACTTAAGATGAATTTTAGCAAATTTCAGACTACCCAGTTTTATGTAGAAAATAAAATTCTTCACACTTTGGTATGTGAGTACACATGAGATAGGTACTAGATAGAGATTGAACCCAGTGGCACACTACCACTAAACTACACCCCTAGCCCTTTTTTTTTGGAACTGGGGACTCAACTCAGGAGCACTCAGCCACTGAGCCACATCCTCAACTCTATTTTGTATTTTATTTAAAGACAGGATCTCACTGAGATACTTGGCACCTCGCTTTTGCTGAAGCTGGCTTTAAATTCAAAATCCTCCGGCGGCAGCCTCCCCAGCCACTGGGATTACAGGCCACAATGCCCAACTCAGCCCTTCTTATTTTGAAATAGGGTCTTATTAAATTGCCTAGGCTGGTCTCAATACTCCTGAGTAGCCGGGATTACAGGCATGCACCACCACACCCAGGCACACTTCAGTTTTTTTGCCAATCAAAAGTGAGTTCAATTCACAGTAGCTGAACCATGGAACCAACCTAGATGCCCTTCAACAGATGAATGGATAAAGAAAATGTGGTACATATATACAGTGGAATATTACTTAGTCATAAAGAATATGAAATTGCCCTAGGTTCAATCCTCAGCACCACATATAAATAAACAAAGATACTGTGTCCATCTACAACTAAAAAACTTTAAAAAATAATGAAACTAGGGCATTTGCTAGTAAATGGATGGAACTGGAGACTATTATGCTAAATGCAACAAGCCAATCCCAAAAAACCAAAGACTGAATGTTTTCTCTGATATGTGGATGCTGACTCACAATAGGTGGGGTGATTCTGGTTACACTGTCTTACACTCCACTGGACTGTGACTCCATGAGAGCAGAGCCCATGGCTCCCTTGCTGTCTATGACATTCCCTGCATACAAAGCAAGCACTTGATGAACTCGATGGATAATGACAGACAACAAGTAAGAGATTGGTAACTTATTTTTTGGTTTCTTTCTTTCTTTTTTTTTTAGTTGTAGATGGTCACAATATATTTATTTATTTTAATGTAGTGCTGAGGATCGAACCCAGTAGCTCACCTGTGGAGGCAAGTGCTTTACCACTGAGCTACAGCCCCAGCCCGAGCTTGGGTATAGTCTGTAGCTACAAATACTATACTATACTATACCTCTGCTGAGGTCACAATTATCACAGCCTCAAGAAAACAACACATTCAAATTGCTGACTTACCTGGGCAATCAAAAAGAATGTAGTCGTCCTCTACATGGCCCAGACAGTTCTCTAGCCAGTCAAAATTATTGGCAAAGTACTCCATGCAAAATACCAATCCTCCATTGGGACCAAACCTTAAAGAATCATCCTCCATCACATCATCCACCTCGATCAGTTCCCGGATGTCTAAAAAGGGCAGACAAGCCCTAAATCTAAGCATCCACTCAAAAATGATTGCCCACCACCATAATAATGATTAATTTTCAAAATCATACATATGAAGTTATTTATGTACATGGTTTTGTATTGCAGCAGTGTCCATCAATAGGGAACTGAGCAAATAAATTAAGGTATAGCTAGACATGGCACAGTGAAATATTATGCAGCTCTTTAAGTACTAATATAATCTCTTAGGTATGTTATTAAGTGAAAAATGCAAGGCACAGAACTCTGTGCAAGAATATCATCAATGCTGGGCGCGGTGGCACACGCCTGTAATCCCAGAGACTCGGGAGGCTGCGGTGGTAGGACTGTGACTTTAAAGATAGCCTCAGCAAAAGCGAGGTGCTAAGCAACTCAGTGAGACCCTGTCTCTAAATAAATGCAAAATAGGGCTGGGGATGTGGCTCAGTGTTTGAGTGCTACTGAGTTCAATCCCCAGTACCCCACCCCACCCAACCCCAAACAAACAAACAAAAAAAATCATCAAGCTGGGGATGTATACTTGTCATACCAGTGACTCAGGAGGCTGAGGAAGAAGAATTGCAAGTAAGGGGAGAGCCTTTGCAACTTAGTGAGACCTTGTCTCAAAATAAAAAATAAAAAGGGCTGGGGAATGTAGCTATAGTGGTAAAGTGCCCTTTTTTCAATCCCTAATACTGGGGGAAAAAAAAAAAAAGGAAAAAAATACATACATAGACTACTTATGGAAGGGTACAACCGAAACTGAAAATATTGGTTTTCTCCAGGGAGGGGGTTTTGGTTTCTGGGACAGAGCTGGGAGGGAGATATTTTCTTGTATGCTTATTCTTTTATACCTTTTGTATTTTGAATCATGTAAATATGTTATTACCTACTTCAAAAAAAAGTAAAACAAAAAAAGCCAACAGTCTCTTAACACGATGACCCTAGGCAAGCTACCCAACCTCCCTGAGCCTCATTTTCCTTTTGCTGAGATGGGAAATAGAGATAGGAATCACACATCCTGGGATAGAAGGATGAGAATTATATGAAATAAATCATCTACAGGAAGGGCTTAAAAATTCTGGTATATGTATGTTATCTTAAGTTTCAGAAATCAATATCCATAATTTCCTACCTCAGGTTTTTACTTATTTATGTGATCAAACCTATAATTTCTGTTCACAGTTCTCTGTGAACAGATATTTCATCCACAAACACAGTTTTTGTTTTGTTACTGAGGCTAAACCCAGAGGCACTTGCTTAACCACTGAGCCAGATCCTCAGCCCTTTTATGTATTTTACTAGAGACAAAGTCTCAATGAGTTGCTTAGGACCTCACTAAATTGCAATCCTCCTGCCTCAGTGTCCTGATCTGCTGGGAATATAAGTGTGTGCCACTGAGCCCAGCTCACAAGCACATTTATAGTGATAACACCTTCCTAACCGCTACTTCAGGAATAAACAGCCAACCCAAGACTGGACAATAAAACTGATCTTCTAGGAAGATAAACTAAGGAGATACTAGTCAGTCAGTAAAACACTTGGACCAGAGAGTGATGTGAACTTGGGGACCTCTTTGGGCAACATGCATCCTGATGCAGAGAAAGCTGGTCCATAAGGAAGAGAAAATATATCAGAAACAGCCAGAAAGCTGGCCTTGGTTGAGTTTTGGGTTCTAACTTGACATAAAATCTTATTCTTGGGTTTTGTGAGTGGCCCCCTAAGTCTCCTAACATATCTTTTTACTTAAGCTAGCTTGAGAGCTTAATCAAATCATCCCAAAGTAATGCAATGCCTTTTTCTCAAGGAAGAGGACTATCCCACATCCCTTTTCTCTTCAAACTGCCTTCCCCAACTGTACCTACAGCCACTCTCAAGGATCAAACATGTCATTATGAGAAATAAGAATGAAAAAGAATTTTAATTTTAGCTCCTTTTCACAGCAAAACCTCAATAAGTTGTCTCCTCTCAGAGTCTGCACAGGTCACCTGCATTTCACTTGAGACCAGTCCAGTCTGCTTTCATCCCTGTCACTTCACTGAAATAATTTATCGAAGTCACCAAAATCTGTGTTCCCAAATATAACAGCCATTGCTGTGTCCTCACCTTACACAACTTCTCAGCTGTACCTGACACTACCAACCACCATCTCTTGAAACATTCTCTCCTGGCTGTTATAAAATCATATTTCCCTCCTGCCTTACTGACATCAACTGCCTCTATTGGACCTCTGAAAAGACAATGTCAAGGCTGAGTGTTGGATCCTTGTCTCCCTCCCAACATGAGCTCATCCAGTCCTGGACTTTATGAATCCAAATGCTGTTTACCCAAATATCTGTACCTCCAGTATAAGTGAGAAGTTTTTATTTAAGGTTGACATCTTTATTTAAGCTAGCATGAGTTCCTTTTGTTGGCTACACAACCTAATAAGCTTTACTGTAGATTTACCATAACAGGTCTAGCCAAGCGGGGATAGAAGGGAAGAAGTAAGACAGAAGTCCACTTACTTTTAAGTCTTAACTAAGGACCAAAAAAAAGCTACCATCACACACATCACCATGAACACATGTTGCCAAATGACAGCCTCATGTTGTTCACTCGAAAGCAGTTTCTGTGCTAAGCAGCCAGCACCTTTACTGTTCCTGAAGAAAGGGAAGGCTGTGCTAGGACTTACCAGCCATCACAGGGTAGTTGAAGTGTTCTGCTGCTGGATCTAGGTTGACCACCTGGACAGACCGGTTGAGGGCTTCACAGTGTTGGACCATGGTGGCACAGTAGGTGCTCTGCAGTGTCACAGGATACAATGGGTTAGAGCAACAGGCAATGCAGCGATACCCTCCACACCCATAAAAGGTTTCTCCAGACTCTCTGGGGCAAGATCCACTAAGGCCAAATCTATGCTTTTGTCAACCCTGATTATAGCTAGAAACAAAAGAAAAGGCACTGGACTAGGAATCAGGACACCTGTGCGGGCTGCAGATCTAGACCTGGTCTTGATTCTCTGGTAACCCTGGGAAACACTTCACTCTGCCCCTCAATTTTCTCATCTCTTAAGATGTTTTCCATGATCACTAAGACTCCTTACTGATCTAACATGCAACAAGTAGATTTTTTTTTTTTTGGTGGTGGTGGTGCTGGGGATTGAACCCATGGCCCTGTGCATGCAAGGCAAGCATTCTACCAACTGAGCTATATCCCCAGCCCAACAAGTGGAATTTAAGGGAAGATTTCTGATTACATGGTGCAGCACCTAACACATAGTATCTCTTCTAGGACTTTACAGTCCAAATGAAGCTTTAGGGTAGGATGGTCAAGGATGATATCTCTGAGTAGGGGATATCTGAGCACAGAGGAATGAGCCTGCCAACCCAAGAGAACATTCCAAGAGGAGGGAACATCAAGATTTCAACGGCTCAGAACATGTTAATTAAAGCCTGAAGCCACACAACACCTCCAAGATTCTAGTGTTTTTCCCACTTATGTTATTTGATCGATACCATGTCTACTATATTTTAGTGCCCTTAACATTATTGCTTAAATCTGTTTACAAGGAAAAATTGTGCTATTATTATAAATGGAAACCAGTTATGATTATATTTATCATAAGGATGAAGGTATAAAATTACATACAACTTTTCTTCTGCCCTCCACGGTACTAGGGATTGACCCCAGAGCCTTGCATATGCTAGGCAAACAACCACTGGGCTACAGCCCCATCCCTTTTTATTTATTGAGACAGATTCTTACTGCTACAGGTTGGCCTGAAACCTGTAATCCTCCTGCCTGTCTCCTCAGTAGCTGAGATTTTCTTGGGCAAAGAACTTAACCTTTCTGTGTCTTCCTTTTCTCTTACCTGTAAAGTGGGCGGGGAAGGGGGGGTAGGGAGGGTTATAGGATCTATCTACCTGGTTCTTATTTTGACACAAGGAGTCCTCAAATTGCCCTGGCTGGCCTTGAGCTTGCCATCCCCATGTCTCAGCCTCCCAAGTAACTGAGATTACAAGCATGTACCCCCATGGCCCATTTACATACAACTTTTCAATGCTTACAATCTTAGCCAAATACTGTTTCCTAGTAAAAGCTATGAATCTAAAATCTGCCCTTTCCCCAAGACTGAGGGATTAGGGGTAGGGGCTGTAGATCGCTTACCTAGCACGTATAAGGCACTGGGTTCAATCCTCAGCACCACATAAAAATATAAATAAATCAATAAAATAAAGGTGTGTGACCATCTACAACTAAAAAAAAATACTATAAAAAAAGACTAAGGGATTAAGTGAAGCTACACTAGGGCCAAATGCAAATTCACCTCACTACAAAGTGAAGAACTGAAAGAATTGAAAAGGATACAACTTTCCCAGTATATGACCCGACGCTCCCTAATATGCAGTCCTCACACCACCTGATATCACCTATAATATCAAAAGTCCATGTTCCGACAGTAAAGACCCTGTTTTAACCTCGGTGGCTCTGAGAAAAGGCCAGATTCTGGAGTTTGACAGCACTGGATTTAAATTCTGGCCACAACTTACTAGCTGTGCGACCTTGGGCAAAGAACTTAACCTTTCTGTGTCTTCGTTTTCCCTTACCTGTAAAGTGGGCGGGGGGTAGGGAGGGTTATAGGATCTATCTCACCGGGTTTCCGTGAAAATAAACGAGGTGGCTAGTGCAAAAGTATCCAGTAAAGATTAACAACTACCATCTCTTCCCAAAAGGGACACTGAAGCAGAGAAGCGGGGCGCCCAGGGTCTCAGGGTCCCTAGGACGCACACCCGCCGACCGCTCCATCGCTTCCCGAATCCCTGGCCACCCACGAACGACGACTTCTTTCTCCTCACCTTCCCGCTGCCTGCGGGGCCCATGACCAGCTGCGCATACCGAGGCATGCCGGCTCTCGGGTTTCCCGGGACCCTCCGCCACACTCCCTTCAGCCTTCGCGCGACGCCCACTGAGTTCCGGGAACACGAAGCGCCAACCAATAGCAATCAACAGTCCGTTTACGCCTTTTGTTCGGCCACACTTCTGACTACGGAGAGTTCCGCGGACCAAATATCATGAGGAACGCGTCCTGAAGAAACGCGGCGAGGGCCTTGCGTATGCGCAGAAGCAGTGGGCAGAAATCGGCGGTTGGGAAACTTGCCAATCCTGGTTGCCTGGGGGATAACGGATAACGGATATCACTTAGCATCCCTCCGCCTGGTGCCGTGGTCCATGATTTTACTTACATGGTGACACCCAAGATTTGCAAATTTGCTGAGGGTCTGGAACGCTGACGTGGAGGACACCTTTTGTTTTAAGGAGCGCTTATGTTTCCTCCCTGTGACGCGTCCCTTCCATAAAAAGATGCTAACTTGCAGACGCTCGATCAACTAAAGGACTCCCGCCCCTCCCCCAGTTGAACTCCGGGGTTGTGGATCTGCCCTCCTCGCTCTCTCCCGACGCTACTCGGGCCGCGTCCGCACGGCGTCTGAGGGGCTAGAATTCGGCGTGGTCCTCTTTTTCACCCCCATATCTCCGAGCCTGACGCACGCGTGCAGACGGGAGAGGGGAGAGAGGGAAGCTGCTCCCGCACTTTGCTCGCGGTCGCGGCACCGCGGAGATGCCGGGCCGGGGTCTTGGGTCCGACTGGACCGAGTGCAGCAATTCCGCAAAGCCGCCCGCTGTGCCCGGGACCGGGGGTGGCGGCAGCGGGTGAGGCTGCGGGCCCCGAGGGTTGGGGGTTCGGCTCCGAGCGTCAGCCCCTGCAGGGGACGGGTGGGGGCTGGCAGCTCTGCTCGTGGACTGGTCCTCTGCGCAGTGAAGTGAGGGGAGGGGAGAAGCTTTGTTAAAGTGGCCAGGATGGAAAATAATGGTGGCTGATTCGCTGTTTAGGGGAGGGGCTTGGTGCAGTGACTGAACGCTGATCACTGCGACAGTCGCCTGCGTGCATCTTTCTGCCCCTAGAGGGCGCTGCAAAACTTGCTGGGAAAATTGCGGGGAACTGAGTAGGCAGTAAACGTCCGGAGGGCTTCCAAGTCAGTAAGCCAGTTCCTTGACATTAAGCACCATTCTGTTAGATGGGAGCTTGTAATAGCCAATGATGATGAAGATAGTTGAGATACTGAAGTCACTGCTGGAGGCTATCCTTATCCCATTCTTCCTTTGTTCCCTAAAAGCGAGAGCTGCTCGCGGTTTACAGTACAGTTCAGCCCATGGTCCAGGCTCCAGCTGCACCCTTAGCCAAGGGTTGCTGCTCCTCACCTGCGCGGCGCTGGGAATGGAATCCCAGGCCTCGTGCTTCCTGGGTAATCGCTCTGACTCTGAGCTATATCCACAGCTTTTTTATTGTTTCGAGACAGAGTCACGCTAATTTGTGCTGGTCTGGAATTTGCAGTCCTACCTCTGCCGCTGGCATAGCTAGGATTACAGGTGTGCACCACCGTGACTGGCATTATTATTATTATTATTTAAATATCTGGTGCTATTTAAAGACTTCTTAGAGATGGGATGAGGTCATGTGCTTTCCTCTTCTTCACAGTGCTTGGCTGAGTGCTGAATCCTAATTATGTTAGATCAGTAAACTCCTGGTCATTGAATAAATTGCAGGAAGTAGGAAGGGAGCAGGTTTTGTCTTAATTTGAGAAAAAGTCAAAAAGAATTCTTATGAAATCGGAAACATTACAGACTAATTTATCAGTTCCAGCACACCTTACTCTTCAAAGGACAGTCTTTTCAGTAACCAAATTACCTTATTAAAGAGCAAGGAAATGGGATGAATAACAGAAAAATACAAACTACTTAATTGAGCTCACTGTAGGAATTAGATTAAGAAACTATAAGAGACCAAATTTAGCTTAAAACAAGTCCTTTAAAGTACGGTAGAAATTTCTGATAATTCACTTTGGAAAAAGCTTGGAGCCATTAGGTTTTAAGCAGACTTGCAAGAGAAAATTTTGCAAGATAGTCTGAGGGAAACATGAAAAGCAAAAAGCATATATGTTAATATCCTTTTCATTTGAAATACATTCTTTAGTGCTTATAAAGCTAATATTACATATTATTTATATCCTTTTTTAACAGATCAGCTGGACTTTATTATCAGAATTCCAAAGGTACTGGTGAGTAGTGCATACAGAGCAGATGACACAAATAACAGGGTTCAGAGAAACCAGTTTGCCTGTAACTACTTAGGCAATGGATTTTTTAAAATAAGACTTTACTAGCATCTTTGGTAAACTGTCTTTAAGATTTTCAAGGCAATCCTTACCTGGGGTTCCCTCTTACCCCTTCAAGAGTTCTGTTTCAGTCATCTCACTTGAATAAATCCTACTCCTTTCATTCTTGAAAAAAAATTTTTTTAAAAGCTATCTGACATCAAATATTTTAAAAATTAACCATAAACTCTAAAAGGGCTGTGTTCAAAACTGATGGTTGCAGAGCACAGCCTGGGTTTTATACATGGATGGAAAGAAGAAGTTCTAAACTGAACAGCTTCAAAGTCCACAAAATATTTCTTGTCTGGGGATATTTTATTCATTTATTTAAATGTTGTGCTGAGAATTGAACCCAGGGCCTTGTTACACATGCTAGGCAAGTGCTTTACTATTGAGCCACAACTCCAGCCCCAATACAATATCTTTTTATTTATTTGTTTTTATGTGGTGCTGAGACTCCAACCCAGTGCCTCACACATGCCAGACAAGCACTCTACTGCTATGCTATAATCCCAGCCCCAGTTTTTAAATTTTTGATTTAAATTCAATGATGCATAAACCTGGATTCTTTTTGCTTTTCCTTGGTATAGTCCCTGTATAGTCCTTACAACTACCTAGGGAAAAAATTCATACCCATATATGTATATGTATATGTATATGTATATGTATATAATAATGTAAATATGTAACATGATTGTATATATATTTTACTTTGTAGGTTTCCCTCCACCAACTGGAAATTGAATTCAGGGGCACTCTACCACTGAGCTGCATCCTCAGCCCTTTATTTATTTATTTATTTAGTTAGTTAGTTAGTTTTGAGACAAGGTCTAACTAAGTTGTCCAGGCAGGCCTTGAATTTGTGAGCCTCCTACTTCAACCTCCAGAGTAGCTGGGATTATAGGTATATTCCACCGTGCCTAGCCTTATCAAAATTCTTACTGAATTATAGTAAAATGTAAAAAATAAACAAAAGTAATAAGATTAAAACAACCCAGATGTGAAGGGAAATAATTAAAAAAAATTTAATTTATTGGTATATTTGATAGATTGACTATATTTAAAAAGCAGCTGGGTACCCTCTTCAGTAATACACATACAAGAACCGGAATGATACAGAGAAGATTAGCATGACCCCTGTGCAAGAATGACATGCAAATTCACAAAGCATTCCATATTTTAAAAAAATTAAACCATAAAAAATAATTTAAAAGAAATTAAAAGCATCCAGGTACAGTGGCATGTGATGTTATGACTGAGGAGGTTGAGGCAAGAGGATTGCAAGTTTGAGGACAACTGGGAAACTTAGGAAGACCCTGTCTCAATAAAAAATAAATAAAATGGGCTGGAGATGTAGCTCAGTAGTTGAGTGTCTCTGGGTTCAATCCCTGGTACAAAAAAAAAAAGCAAATTTCAAAACAAATATCAAAATAATAATGAAAGGTTTTTATAGTGTAGGATTTTTCTATTCAAATAAACAACAAATATATGCCTAGTGAAAACTCTGAAAAGGCAGGTTGTGGTGGCACAAGCCTGTGATCCCAGCAGCTCTAGAGGCTATGGCAGGAGAATTGCAAGTTAGAAGCTAGCCTCTGCAATTTAGCAAGACCCTAAGCAATTTAGTGAGTCTCTGTCTTAAAATAAAAAGGGCTAGAGAGGTTTCTTTATAATTCAGCCACATACCCAGCCATTTTTATTTTGGGACAGGGTCACACTAATTTCCCAAGCTGGCCTCAAATTTGTGATCCTCCTGATTCAGCCTCCCAAGTCACTGGGATTACAGGTGTGTGCCATCATGCCTCGCTACAGATGTTATTTTAATCTGATTTACCACAACTAAAATTTGGTAGTCTTCAAAGCAATGAGTAAAATCCATCTTTCTTTCTCTTTTTTATCTTGTAATGCTTAGGATCTCAACCCTGCTCATGCCACTGAGTCACAACCGAGGCCCTAAAGCCCATTTTTTTTAACAATTTATTTACTACTAACACTTTAATATTTACCTTAGGAATAAATTACATTTCTGAAATTTTGACTTTGAGACTTACAGAAAATTTGTGAGAATAATACATGAAAGTTTAGGATCTTCATTCAGATTCCCCCAAAGTTAACTCTATCTAGTTTTTGTTTGTTTGTTTGTTTTTATTTTTAGTTGTAGATACCTACAACTAAATAAATAAAATAATAAATAAATAAAATACCTTTATTTTATTAATTTTTTTAAATTTATTTTTTTGTAGTTGTACACAATACTTTTATTTTTATATGGTGCTGAGGATCGAACCCAGGCCCTTGCACATGAGAGGCAAACACTCTACCGCTGAGCCATAACCCCAGCCCCAATTTTATTAATTTTTTTTTGTAGTGTTGAGGATCAAACCCAGTACCTCACATATGCTAGGCAAACACTCTACAACTGAGCCACAACCCCAGGCTTCGATCTTGGGTTTTTTTTTTTTGGTACCAGGGATTGAACTTAGGGGCACATAACCACTGAGCCACATCCCCAGCCCCATTTTTTTTTTTTATTTAGAGACAGGGTCTCACTGAGTTGCTTAGCACCTCACTTTTGCTGAGGCTGACTTTGAACTCGAAATTGTCCTGCCTGAGCCTGCTGAGCTACTGGGATTACAGGTGTGCATCACCATGCCTAGTATCATATACAAGGTCTTGCTGAGTTACTTATGGCCTCACTAAGTTGCTGAGGTTGGCTTTGAACTCAAGATCTTCCTGCCTCAGTCTCCCAAACTGCTGGGATTACAGGCATTACTATGCCCAGCCGAATTGTATTTCTTGACATTCACATTTGTGAAGAACACAGGCCATTTCTTTTGTAGACTATCCCTCAACTTGAGTTTGTTTGATCTTTCCTCCTGAGGAGATTTAGCTTTTCACATTTCTCACAGGAATACAGCAGAATGATGCCGAGTTCACCTTGGTTCATTACATTAGGAGACACTTGCTGTGGGTTAATCTTTTTTTTTTTGTTGTTGTTATAGGGATAGAACTCAGGGACACTCAACCACTGAGTTTTTGTATTTGTTTTTGTATTGTATTTCAAAACAGGGTTGCACTGAGTTGTCCAGCACTTTGCCCTTGCTGAGGCTGGCTTTGAACTCAGATCCTCCTACCGAAGCCTCCTGAGCTACTGGATTACAGGTGTGCGCCATCACACCCAGCACTAAATTCATTATTATTATGATGGCTTGAAACAAATGATGTTTCTAATTCTACTACTTATTCTACATTTTTTTTGAGAGAGAGAGAGAGAGAGAGAGAGAGAGAGAATTTTTTAATATTTATATTTATTTTATATTTATTTTTTTAATATTTATTTTCTAATTATTGTCGGACGAGCACGCTACCGCCTGAGCCACATCCCCAGCCCCTCATTCTACATTTTTTCAATTGATTTCCTGTTATAAGGAATAGTTTTCCTTTCTCTACCAACTGTTTATGTATTTATTGAATCATTTATTTATGAATTTATTTATTGGGCTGGGGATGTGGCTCAAGCAGTGGCGCGCTCGCCTGGCATGCGTGCAGCCCGGGTTCGATCCTCAGCACCACATACAAACAAAGATGTTGTGTCTGCCGAAAACTGGAAAATAAATATTAAACTTCTCTCTCTTAAAAAATGAATTTATTTATGTATTTATTTATGAATGTATGGATTCTTATTTTATTCAATAGGTTAAATCCTTCACTGTCATTGTTTTTCTGCTCAGATTATTTGAGATTTAACCAGTGTAAACCCTTTAGAAATGGCTTTTATGCTGTTTTAAATTGTCTCTATTATCCTTTGAGCACTTTGTTATCCCCTTTTCCTCTCTGTGGTGCTGGGATCAAATCCAGGGCTTTGTGCATGCTAGGCAAACACTTCATCACTGAACTAAAATTCCAACCCTCCCATTTTACTTTTTGCTATAAAATAGTGTACTGTTGTGTCAGCCATTTCTCCAAGGAGCCCGTGGGAGCAGAATGGTCCCCAAGTCCCCACCCTAACTTGTTAGAGTTACATGGCACACATATATATCTATTTCTGTATTTTTACTTAATAGTTCATTCTGTGCCCTCCTCTTTCCTTATTCATGGGTAACTTTTTCTCCAACAGTATGAAACCTGGCTACCATTAACTATGATATAATTATTCGTTAGTCCTAAAATACATAAGAAGTAGCTTCAGAATTGTTAATCTACACCTCTACAAAAAAAGAAGCCTAGTAATTAAAGATTAGTATTTGCTTAGAGTACTTTTAGTTTGAGGGCATACAGTCCAAGCAATGTATTCAGAAACTGTTGGGTTAGGTAACAATTTATTTACTTATTTGCGCAGGAAATAAACTTAACATTTTAATTGTTTTAGGTGTATAGTTCACTGGCATTAAATTGTTGTGCAGCCATCTTCCTAAATTAAAATTTCACATATCAAATTATGGTAAATCCCTATTTCTCCTTTTTTCCAGCCCCTGATACCCATCATTTCTTTTTTTTTTTTTTAATAATTTTTAGTTGTAGGTGGACACAATACCTTTATTTTATTTTTATGTGGTGCTGAGGATTGAACCCAGTGCCTCATGCATGCTAGGTGAGTGCTCTTCCACTGAGCCACGACCCCAGCCAGACGCCCATCATTTCTATGAATTTGTCTTTTCTAGGTATCTCATATATGTGAAATCATATAGTATTAATCTTATGACTGGCTTATTTCGCTTAATGTTCCGAGGGTACCATACAGTAGCATGTCAGAATTCCCTTTTTTAAAAAAATATATATTTATTTATTTATGTATCGTTAGTTTTAGGTGGATACATTAGTTTGTTTTGGCTGCCTAATATTTCACTGGATGGATATACTATATTTTGTTTATCCGTTAATCCATTGATGGACTCAGGTTTCTTCCCTCTCTTGGCTGCTATGAACATGAGTGTGTCCAAATATGTTTATGTCCTTGCTTTCTTTTGGAATTGCTAGATCAAAAGTGGAATTGCTCAATCACATGGCAATTCAATTTATTTTCCAGTTTCTACACCATTTTACATTCCCACCAATGATGCACAAGGTTATTGATTTCTTCCTATCCTAATCAACACTTGCTGTTTTGTATTTGTTTTTTTGTGTGTGTGTGTGCGCGCGCGCGCGCACGCACCAGGATTGAAACCAGGAGTGCTTAACCACTGAGCTACATCCCCAGCTCGTTTTATTTTTTGAGACAGAGTCTCACTAAGTTGCTTAGGGCCTCCATAAGTTGCTGAGGCTGGCCTTGAACTGGTGACCCTCCTTTGTCAACCTCCTGAGTCACTGGGATCATAGGTATGTGCCACTGTTCCCTGTGGTTTGTTATGTTTTTTGATGATAATTATCCTAATGGGTATGAAATCATATTTCACTGTTTTTGATTTGTGTTTCCCAAATGATTAGGGATAATGAGTATATTTTAATGTGTTTATTGGATATTAGTGTCTATTTTTTGGAGACATGTCCATTCAAGATGTTTGTGTTCTAAAACCAAATCGCATATCATAGTATTAAAAATTACCTGATATAAAATACTCACATTACTACTCCATAATAATACATGTAAATAACTAGATATTATTAAATTTGTTGAATTGATTTTTGCTTCTGAAATTCATAATATCCTTGTTTACAGTTAGAATCAAAGATGGACATAGAGTGAACTCTCACATAGCCAAGCTGCAAGAGTTATGGAAAACGCCTCAAATTCAAACAATTCACATCCCTAAATCAATGAAGGATGCATCTTTTTTAAAGGTAAATTTTGAGGGAAATTTATTTATTGTGATGCTGAGGATCAACTAGAGGGTTTTGCACATGCTAGGCAAGCACTCTACCACTGAGCTATACTCAGTCCCAGAAAAATACTATTTGAAGTCAGAGCTAAACTTTTTCTTTCCTCACTACTGGTGATTGAAATGCAAGATTTGCTCATACTAGGTAAGCACTTTACCACTAGCTACATGCCTAGCCCCAGAGTTGAACTTTTATCAAAAATACTACTTACCAAGAGGTTAAGGCATTACACATTACAAAGTTTACCCAGCATATTGTCTGGGAATCAATAAATATCTCTTGGGTAAACTCATGAATGAATGTAAGGATAGATTTCCTATCATAAGATCTAATGTGGGTTGGGGTTGTGGCTCAGTGGTACCAGCATGCATGAGGCACTGGGTTTGATCTTTAGCACCATATAAAAATAAAATAAAGATATTGTGTCCACCTAAAAGAAAAAATAAATATTAATAAAAAATTTATCATGTATAACTAATTAAAACAAAAAAATTAAAAGATTTAATGCATCTTTATTAGGAAGCTCAAACACAAAGATACTCAAGGAAAGTTCCATTCTACTGGCTGCATTCCTGTAATCCCAGTGTCTTAGGAGGCTGAGGCTGGAGGATTACAAATTTGAGACCAGCCTCAGCAACTTAGTGAAGCCCTGTCTCAAAATTTAAAAAATAAATAACAAATGACTGGGGATGTAGCTCAGTGACACAGCACCTCTGGGTTCAATCCCTAGTACTACCCCCTGCCCCCCCCAAAAAGTCATTCTAGAGTTAAAAGTTGAAAACCTAACCTTATAAAGATTTAACTCAAGAACTACAAAATTAGAAGCAGCAGGTAAAGGAAATGGCATTAAGGGTTTTACAATTATTTACTTGTGCGCTCACTAGTAAGACCAGTTCTAGAAGCTGGGTGTGGTGGTGCACCTGTATTCCTAGTTACTTGGAAGGCTGATCTTTTGAACTTAGGAGTTCAAGGTTAGCCTGGGCTACATAGCTAGACTCCATTAAAAGAGAAATTATAAAGTAAATTCTGTGTGTGTATATATATACATATAGTAGACTGTTGAATCGAGCATGTACTTCAAAATCAGAAGTATACTCGTTCAGAATTACTTAACTGGAGATTTTAACTGTCCCTCAGTATGTCCAATACTGATAGTTATTCTGGTACTGGAAAAAAGACTTTAGTTAAAAATAAGTAGAATCATTGGGTTAATTTTAGGTATTATGTTATACTTCAAAAATCATATTGAGATGGGCTAGCATTGTGGTTCAGTGGTAGAGTGCTCGCCTGGCATGCACAAGGCACTGGGTTTGATCCTCAGCACCACATAAATGTAAAATAAAGATGTTGTGTCCACCTAAAACTAAAAAATGAATATTTAAAAAAATATCGAGAAGGTAAAATGCAGTATATACAAAGTAAAAATTGCTGGCAGAACAGCAGATTCACTCCCTTATTCCTCTAGGGCAGGGGATACTCAAAACTCAAAGGACATCTGGATTACTTGAGTGGAATGTCAAAATTACTTGCATTCTTTATTCATTTGTGTGTGTGTGTGTGTGTGTGTGTGTGTGTGTTGCTGGGGTTTGAACCCAGGGCAGCAAGAACTCTACCAACTGAGCTAATCCCCAGCTCACTTGCACTTTTTTTTTAATTTTTAAAATTGTCAATGGACCTTTATTTTACTTATTTATATGTGGTGCTGAGAATCAAACCCAGCCTCACTCATGCCAGGCAAGTACTCTACCCCGGAAATAGGACCCCAGCCCCCACTTGCACTCTTTAAATGGCCATTTCTTTTTCTTTTGGCCACATTAACATAGTTTAATTTGTTTAAGTCAAATGTACAAATGGCACAGCTCTCCTAAACATCCACTCTTTCACATAAGGGAGACTGTCAACTTCTGTTCTATAATGCTGATCATAAATCTTTTATTCTTTTAGCATCCAGACCTCACCATAGGCCAGAAGCGTTATCTGTGCAGCATTGCTAAGATCTATAATGTAAACTACCTGAGGACCTTGATGAAGAGGCAGTACATGTATGTGATTCAGCGCAGCTTACAAAAGCCAGGCAGGTACACCTCCAGTTGGTGTCTCACTAGTTCAAGAAGTGAGAGGGCCATCTAACTGTGGTGATTTATATGACAGGTGTCCTCACTCATCATAAGAGCCGCCTCTGCTCTCCTTACTCACAGAAACAGCATTACTCCTGCACTATATGGCGACACCAACTGGAGAGGGAGGAGTCTTCTAACATTGCAGCCATATCTGCACCTGAAATGATCATACATCATTCCCTTTGGCGACCAGTGAGAAACAAAGAAGGGTCTGTTTCTTGAGGTTTAAGTGGGAGAGAATGTGCCCAAATTTATCTGAAGGGTAGCTCACTAGTTTGTGTTCCCTAGTATGTTCACTTTACTAAACTCAGACTAGGTGGACAGAAAGCACAAAAGGATCTTTCTCTTTACTGAGTTGATTGAAATAGCCACTTTTTTAAGAACATGTTTTGTGGAATTGTAAAAAACTTGATCAGACAGATCATTTCAATATGTTTCCATTCAAATTTAAAAAAATACAAATACTTGCAAAAGGAGAGTTATGGTTGCTTCTGCACTGGAGAGTATTTCAAAACAAAAAACAAAAAACAAAAAAAAAAAAAAAGGAGGAAAAAAGAGATTAGAAAGCCCCAATATTCAAACTGCACTTCTATAATTAACTTTGCATTTCAGGATTAATAAATCACAGGAGTATTTAGGGACTTAAGCGGTCTCTGGTAATTCTAGTAGCTAAAAAAAATAATTTGTGTAGATTTCCATGTGCATTAAGCAGCTGTTCACTTTGTTGGCTCCAATTCAGATACTTTCTTTTATTATAGGTTAAAAACTGGGTATGCATCTAAAATAAAATGTAAGTCACTGAAGATTTTTAGAAGACCTGGCAGACTATTCATGCAACCAGGTAAATTTGGAATTTAAAAATTATGCATTTTTTAAGATCTTAGGTTTAAAAATATTAAACTAAATGTAGTTTCACTTTTATTATGAAGACATTACAAGTTTTAGAATGTGATCTCTGCCTTAATTGTTCCAAATAAAAAACTAAACATGAGGGGGCTGAGACTGTAACTCTGGTAGAGCGTTCACCTAGCATGTGTGAGGCACTAGGTTTGATCCTCAGCACCACATAAAGATAAATAAAGGTATTGTGTCCATCTTCAACTAAAAAAAAAATATTTTAAAAAGCCCTAAACATGAAATAGTTTATGCTCTCAATTAAAAGAATACACAGCTCAAGGGAATGAGATTCAAATTATTTCTTTTTCTTCTTTTGGGGATGCTGGGAATCAAACATAGGGCTCACACATGCTGGGCTACTTCCCCAGCCCACAGTATTTCTAATTCTCAATATATTTACAATATCAAGGTCCAAAACTCAACAGAGAATGAATTTGTCAGAACCCTGATCCAAAAATATCTTTTTGAGCCATCACACTTCTTTAATAAGATAGTGCCGTTTTTGTTTTTTAGTTGTAGACTGTCCCAATACCCTCATTTTATCCACTTATTTCCATGTAGTGCCAAGGATCAAACCCAATGCCTCACACGTGCTAGGCAAGTAATCCACCACTGAGTCACAATCCTGGCCCAGATAGTGCCATTTTTACATGGATAGCATATTTTCTATAGCACTTAGTAATTTACAAAGGGCTATATCATTCATACTATCTTGTCTGATATTCAACAAACCAGTGAAAGCATGCCAAGCAGGTGATATTATCAATGTTTTATAGATGCAACTCAGTCAAATCCAGACTTTAAAAGAATCTGCATAAAGGATCTTTCTACCACAAGTATAGAACACTGCAGAATTAAAAAGGAAAAACTGGAAGACAAATTGAGTGATCAGAAATTCTCAAAATTATAATGGAGTTATAAGTGGAAATGAAATAATTCTCTAGTTAGTGCCATACTGGCTAGGAAGTAGGGAAGTAAAGCCTTCTGAATTGATATTCCATTGCTGTACACAGCATCAACCCAGCTCTGCTGTAAAAACCATACTATACCTACCCAAGAAATTAGAGAAAGGGGAAAAAGTAAGTCTGGTTCCAAAAAGAACAGTTAGGGAAACCCTGGGGAGGGGAAAAGGCACTGTGGCCCCCCCCAGAGAAAGAACCAAAGGAAAATGGAAAGACACTGAAGATATAACTGACCACTTTTTCTCCCTGACCAAAAGATTCTGAAAACCAATGGGAGAGGGCTTGGATTGTAGCTCCACGGTAGAGTACTTGCCTAGCATGTGTGAGGCACTGGATTCAATTATGGACACTGCATATAAAGAGAGGAGAGGAGAGGGAGAGGAGGAGAGAAGAAAGAAAGAAAACCAATGGGAATACTTAGTAACAAAGAATTTGTTATACAGTAACTTGTTTAGAATATAGTACTGTGTATCTTATTTTTAAGAGTAAGAGGACTAAGGTAATTATCTCTGCTAAAAGTTAATTAATGAGCTAGGTCATTTTGAAAATGTTTCAAAGCAGACATTATAAATTCTTATTATTCCTTCAGTTTCTTCAAATGATTCTGAATCATACATGAATGAAGAAAAAAAGGAAGAAGATTTACTAAATAAGTGTATGCAATCAATGTCAATTGAAGAAAGGGGAGAACATCTGATGTTAACTTGACAGTCATGTATTGTGGACTGAATTCAGACACGACATAACATCAAGATATTGTGTCCCAAAGGGGAAGGCAAGGGACTGTGAATTGTGTCCTTTATGTTTAGGATGGTGTTATTCACCATTAAGTCATGAATTTTAGTTTGTTCAAAAACTTTACAACAATATGATTGGTCTGATATAGTTCTATGTACCATTGATATTAGTGTAATAAAATTTACATGTAATATATGCTTGTATTTCTAGCTAGGTACAATTAAAATTTTTCTTGTCACTTAAAAATGAATTATTTTTCTTTAAACCTGACAAATGCATTATGAATGTAATTCCTTTCTCTACTTATGCTAAATTCTAAAATAATATTCTAATATCCTTCAAGTTTGGAATAAAGAAAACTCCAAAATACTCAGATGTATAATAGCATTTGAAAGACTATCATTAGGGCTGGGGATGTGGCTCAAGTGGTAGTGCGCTTGCCTGGCATGCCTGTGGCCTGGGTTTGATCCTCAGCACCACATACAAATAAAGATGTTGGGTCCGCCGAAACCTAAAAATAAATAAATAAATAAATATTTAAAAATTCTCTCTCTTAAAAAAAAAGAAAAAAGGGAAAAAAACTATCATTACTTGCAAAGTAGGTACTCAATAAATAGTTGCTATTTGATACAAGTTAAAAATGTACAGATTTGCCTTATCTTATAAAAATTAGGCTCTCAAACTAGATTCAGCTGGGAATAGTTGCACTTTTTTTTTTTTTTTTTGAGAGAGAGAGAGAGAGAATCTCAGTATTTATTTTTAAATTTTTGGCGGACACAACATCTTTCTTTGTATGTGGTGCTGAGGATCGAACCCGGGCTGCAGGCATGTCAGGCGAGCGTGCTACCGCTTGAGCCACATCCCCAGCCCAATAGTTGCACTATTGACAGGATTCTTTACATTTGCACTTTAGTGAGCTTCCCAGAGAAACTTGAGTGGTTCTTACCAAAAAAAAAAAAAAAAAAAAAAAAATTCTGGGGTTGTGGCTCAGTGATAGAGCACTTGCCTAGCACGTGTGAAGCCCTGCATTCAATCCTCAGTACCACACACAAAAAATAAATCAATAAGGGCTGGGGTTGTGGCTCAATGGTAGAATGCTTGCCTAGCATGCATGAGGCACTAGGGTCGATCCCCAGCACCACATAAACAAATAAACAAAATAAGGTATTGTGTCCATCTACAACTAAAAATCATATTTAAAAGAAAACTGTGAAAAAAGAAAAATTTCAAAAATTACACCTTAAAAAAATCAATCAATAAAATAAGGGTACTATGTCCAAATACAATTAAAAAATATACTTTAAAAATGTTGTTAAATCTTAAAAAATGGGAGTAGCAACAGTTTAAAAGAATCACTGCTGATTTAATCAATCAATATGAGACATTATGTAGAAAATAAAATGTGAGGTCAATTTTATGACAGAATGTTGTAAGAGAAGAGTGCTCTGAGAGGTCATCTCAACTACCCCTTTAATACTTAAATTTTGCGGTTTCATTTGGTCTTTCATTTTTATGTTTTTTAAAAAATTAAACACAGATTATCAAAAAAGTATAAATGAAAGGTAAACATTTATTACTAGAGAAGAGAAAAATGTATACAGAAAGTCTAAATTCTTTCTCTTCATGCACTACCTTTGCAATAAAGTCCAAATACTAACTTTGAAGATATTGTCAAGGATAAATTTTTCTAAACACATGACTATCTACTGTGTCGTGGACTTTTTTTTTCATAGAAACTATATACTGCAAATATATTCTTATAGTTTACAAGAAGCTCAGAGCACTTATGTATAAACAAAGAAGACATTTCTTACTGCAAAATATTACTGAAGTTAATACAACTGTGTGGCTCTTAAGCATTTAATTACTTAAACAAAGGAATGAAAAAAAAAAAACCCACAAAATCATGAACAGGCATGGCTTTAAGATTTTTTGTATTCAATTCGTTCTACTTTCACATCATCTCCAATTAGCTGATAGACGTAAGTGACCACTGTAGATGCCTGGATATCCATCAACACAAATGAAGGAATAATATTTCTGAAAGAAAAAAAAAAGTTAGTATTCTGTACTAAAGAGAAACAGCACTATAAATCTCAATTTAAGATAACAATTTGAGGAGCTGGGGTGGTGGCTCAGTGGTAGAGCACTTGCCTAGCAAGTGTGAAACACTGGGTTCAATTCTCAGCACCACATATAAACAAAATAAAAATAGAAGTTCTATCAATAACTAAAAAAATAAAATTAAAAAAGAAAAGATAACAATTTGAACTAAAAAATCTGATTATTACTTACATACTCAAAAGAATAATTACCAAAAGAAGACTGCTAAAAAGTACACAGTTATTTAAAAGATTACATGTCTTTTATGAAATGTCAAACACACAATCATTAACTTTACTAAAGCCCCCAAATTTCTAAATTGTATACTACTTACGTTTCTAAGGCATTATAAGCGCCAGTGGCAGAACCTGGGTTAATGTAGAATTTATTTTCATGCTCAAATGCTTCAAATTTGTGTGTGTGCCCTGAGATAAGAATGTCCACATCAAACTGTCTCTGCAACAGGGCTAAGCTGGCCATATCTCCCCACGGAATAACTTGATGTCCATGGATCAGACCAATTTTGAACTGTCCCACAGTCACAACTTTCTGTTCTGGATAATTCAGATTCTAATATAAGAAAGAGATAAAGAAAACATGAATTTTATTTTTTGGTACTGGGGATAGAATCCAGGGGTATTCCACCACTGAGCTACATCCCCAGTCTTTTTATATATTTATTTTTTGCTACTGGGGATTGAACTCAGGGGCACTCGACCACTAAGCCACAGCCCTAGTTTGTATTTTATTTAGAGACAAGGTCTCTCTGAGTTGATTAGCACCTCACAGTTGCTAAGGCTGGCTCTGAACTTGATATCCTTCTGGCTCAGTCTCCCGAGCTGCTGGGATTCAGGCATGCACCACCATGCCCAGCCTCTTTTTATTTATTTATTTATTTATTTATTTATTTATTTATTTATTTATTTATTTATTTATTTATTTAGGCAGGGTCTTGCTAAGTTACTGAGGCTGGCCTTGAACTTATGATCTTCCTACTTCAGCCTCCTGAGTCACTGGGATTACAGGTGTATGCCTAGCAAAAACATGTATTTTAGAAATGTTTTTTAAAAAATCACTGTATAAATATTCAACCTTTTAAGGATGAGGAAACTGAGGCACAAATAGGTCAAAATAATTTGCCCAACGTTACATGCCAGTGAGTGACTAAGATCCAAATTCTAGTAGCACAGCTCCAGGGTTTGTGGATCTAGCAAATTAGAGGAAAAAAAAAAAAAGATTGAATTCTTGCTAATTAGACTTCTTTAAAATAACAGATGGAAACCCTGTATTTAATTAACCAGACCTGTATTCTAATTATGAATAAGAAGTTTGCCCCTGTCCTTGTTATTACTCTGGTCTTTGACTTTTATACCACCTATAGTTTATCCAAACTAAAACCACTAAAAAAAAAAAAAAAATTAAAAAAAAAAATAGACCATACTATGTCCATTTGGTTTGGTATAAAAGAACCTTGTTAGAGAGTACCAACCAAGTTAGATAATTTATGAAAAAGCTTACATTCCCAGAAGTGCAAAATAAAATTTTTATCCCAGAATCAGGTTTGTCTTTAAGTTACATTGGTAAGGGCCTAAAAATTATCTATTCTAATCATATTTACTAAAAGTCAAAAAGGAGAAGTAATTTGTGAAAAATCTCATTAATTATTGGGCAAAATCGAAACTCTAGAACGTTAGATTTATTAAGGTATAATTTACATACAGTAAAATAATCCTCTTTGGTGTATAATTTAATTTTTTTCAACTTAATGGGTTTTGATAAATGCATACAGCTGTGTAAGTACTGCCACATTCAAAATATAGAATATTTCTCTCATTCCATTTTAATTCTCTTATGCTTTATAGCCAATCCCTGTCAATAGAGTAGTGATGGGGTCTTATTTTACTTAAAAAGGATCACACTGGGTGCTTCTTAGAGAATAAACAGGAGGAAAGAAGGGTAGAGTGAAGAAAGTGGAACACAGGAAAGTGATGTGTTAGCTTGATAGGTCAGTAAAGGTGGTGATGGTGGTGGGGAGAAGTTCATAGCAACAACAAAAAAGAAACCAAATGATGGCACTACAAAAATAGTAACAAGGCCACTTTACTCAGCATCAATTTATTTAGTAGGAATAATTATTTAATGTGTTTGTGGGGTAGTTTACATCTGTGTAATATGGGTTGAGCATCCCTAATCTGAAAATCCAAAATCTGAAATGCTCCAAAATCTGAATCTTTTTGAGTGACCCACACAATGACACAGATAGAAAATTCCACACCTCATGCCACATGTTAGGCTTTCCTGAAAATGCAGGCACACTGAAAACATTGTATAAATTACCTTCAGGCTATGTGTTTAAAGTGTGTATGAATGAAACATAGTGAATTTCATTTCTAGACTTGGTTCATATCCCCAAAGTAAGTGTATAGAAATATTCCAAAATTCAAAACAAACCTGAAATCCAAAATAATTCTGGTCCTAAGCATCTCAGATAAATGATAATTGTAATTTTACAGTTGGAAATTTTTAAAAAGAGAGATAAGAGAAAAAGACCTTAGCAATACAGATACCCTAGTCTAAAGGAAAAAGCTTATATAAGTAAAAATTAAGAAGGGGAAATATCTGAGAAGGAAAGGCAAATACATCACCTCATCAAAGTCTCCTCTCACAATGTGAACATCACCAGCCAGAGTCTTGAGATAGTCATAACTCTCCTTGGTGCAAAGGTTTCCAGTGCAGAGAATGTGCTGAATCTTTCCTGGTACCAGGAGTTTTTTGAATTTAGCAGGTAAACTGTTGCAACGATGTGGGATGTGCAGATCTCCTAATACCAACACCAACTTTAAAAGTGTCAAGATGAGATAAAGCATATTAAACATGATGTCAAAAAATGACATTCTTGGGCTGGGGCCAGTGGCAGAGCACTTGCTAGCACATGAGAGTCACTGGGTTTGATCCTTAGCACCACACAAAAAAAAATAATAATAAACAAAAATAAACACATGCTATCCACGTACAACTACAAAAAAAATTTTTTTTAAATTTCTCCATAACTCCCCTTTTAAATTAAATTTATCAGAAATTCCAGAACCTGATAGAAGTTGTTCATATAGTTTCTATCATGACTATTCAAATCAAAACACATA